GCCAGAGTTCCCAATGGTGTGTTTAATAACTTAAACTTCTGTTTTGCAATGACACCAAAAAAAAAATAGTTTCTATTTCCCTTAGATTTTATCGCATATTTTGTGCATAATATAAGGTTATAAAATATATAAAATACTTGTGACATTCGATTTGTGAAACAAAGATTTTGCGTGAAAATCATAGCCAACATTCCACGGAACCTCGAAGGCTCCTCTTTAAAGAAGGTTCATTTTCTGGAAATTTCGTTTTGTGGTTATCCCTCACATTAAATGGCAATATTTCCGGTAAGCACAAAATAATGATTGGTACAAAAGGCACTTGATGCTGGGTGGAAGTACATGTGTAAATAAATAAACACTAAACCAATTACAGTACGTATCTCTCAATTCATAATTTGCGCCGAACAAGTGAGGGAAAAAAAGTGACGATAGAGCAAAGGGACGTCAGAACGCCGACTTCTTGTTTGAACAATGAGTGGCTAGAGCCAAAGCAAGCCACTTTGTCTCCACTGCACTCATCGAACGCTTTAGAACGTGGAACTCCGCCTTCGTGCGGTTCGCTTTCGCCTTCGAACGTGTTCGATGAGTACAGTGGAGGCAAAGGTATACTTTGTCTCCACTACAATCGTTGAACGCGTTAAAACACAGAACGCGGAAGTCTCGCGTTCGGCTCTCGCATTCAAAACCCGTTCGACTAGTACAGTGGAGACAAATGCAGCTGGCTTTATGTCTAGCCACGAATTGTTCAAAGAAGAGCTTGGCGCCTTGACGTCCCCGCACGCTCTTGTCTCCTTCTAGCCCTTAAGTTCAGGGCGCGTAGACATGATTTTCTCACGACACGTCTTTGAAAAAAAAATGCACTCCCAATTTTTTAATCATTTTAGTAACCTCAATTGGAGATCAATACATATTAATATTAGCAGGATTTTCAAAAATATTTTTTTCTAAGTTTAAAGCAAGAAGTTATTTTTATGTTGGTTTTTAGAAGTCGTTTTGCTAGCCCAGGATATAAACTAAATTAGTATGTTATTTGCTATAGTGGCTAGTTAATTACCAGTTCATGCAGATTTAAAAAATTCTTCTGTCATCAGCGTGAATGGAAAAGTTTGCTTCGTTGCTAATATTTACTACGTCATTGATAAATATATTTTTAAAAATTGGTTTAAAGTGCGACGTGAGGTACATCGGATGTCAAATATGTTAAACGGGACGAATACGAATAATGTTTACATATTTGTTTTGGCGACTTAAGCAGCTCTTTAGTGTGGAGAGTGCCAAGTGTGAGAGTGCCTCTTACGCCATATATTTCATGCTTCAGCAAAAGTAGTTGATGGTGGCCGAGTGGACGAATTCGTCTTAGCTCGGAGCGTGGAGCGAAAGCGTTCGCTGCAGGACCTCCTCGGTTCGATTCCCATGCCCTACCCTATTAGATATGGGTGAGCGTCCTACCGGCACGCCTTCGTGTAATCATTGCTGCGTGGTACTCGTTAAAAACGTCAGGTTATCGGTTGTGTTGCACTCGTTAAATGTTTCGTCTACAGCTAAGAGACAAGCCATCCATTGAGGAGTATTTACTTAGAGGATGTCTAAACATAAACGAAACGTAATTTTCGAAGTAGGTTATGATTCAGGTAATCGAATGTATTTATGAAAGCAACATATATCCCAAGAACCGAATTGTTATTCTTACAATTGTCCAGTATACGTTTTGATCAAGTAATGCTAGCTCAGTAGATCGATTGTTTTTATAAACAATATTGTGTTATAGTAACAATGATATGTTTTGATGTAGAACTATAACTCGACTGTTGGTAATGGTTTCAGGTCTCTTTGAAAAGACTGAAAGAATACGTATGCGTCTCTAATTTTTGAACTCGTTTGGTAGCCATTTGTATGTAAAACTGTTAGATTAGCCGTTTGGATTCTCCAAGAAAATATCGCAGTTTCTAAGCAAAGATGAAAGATATGCACAAGAAAAGCATATATGATGTTGATGCCATGCTTGACTGGTCCCATCTGAATTGCCTCCGGGTCACAACCTTTTTCCTTTCTTGATTTAACAACTACAGAGGCAACTTCAGCTTCAGGAGGCGGGCTCAAAAAAATTGTGCTCTGGTTCAGTTAGAATTTGCTTTCAAACATTACTTATATGCTGCTCTATCACTAGGTTTAAAAGAAGTAATTAAAAAGTATTTTGAAAAAAAATCAAGTAATTCAGTTCAATTCATGTCGATAGGGTGAACTGTGCGTTGAGATTGTACTAATGAGTTATGCGGTTTGCACATATAATTGATGCGGTAAGACACGGTAGTAAAAAAAAAATTACAGCAATAGCGTTTCCTTGCATTTTTACCAAAACTATTTGTCTAGGATTAGAAGAACTAAATAACTCGATATAATTTACACCGTTTGTCTTAAATAGCCTCTTGTAATGGGGACATTCGCTTTGTTTTTCCTAGCAACTTTTGGGAAAAAAAATGGGTTTCAAATTGATTTTCTGCTTCGAAATCTGAAGGGAAAACGTGTTTTATGAAGAATTTTTAAATGTATTCATGAATAGATCAAATATTTTTCTTAGCTAGTTTCGATCAGTACGATATTGTGGCAGCTCTTTCGCAATGCTATGATATGTAAACAGAATCGTAGCTAAGTTATCATAGATGTCACAACAAATGATTACACCAGACTTCTTTTTCGTCTCAGGATATAAACTTTATAACAATTTGCCTCTTGTCCTTGTCTTTAAATTAACCAGCGCTATTTGCGCTCTCATTTATAGTTGTAATGATACTCATATGTCGATGGCACACGAACGAAATATGTTGCAAGACTCTTTCCATGACTCATTGCTTTTTTAATTTTTCAATCACACTGCAAAAATATTAAAACGAATTGTCGGCTACTATTTTCAAGTTCATCCATTCGGACATCTATGTATTTTTGTTTTTTTTTTCTTTTTTTTCTTTCTATTTTAAGATAAGCTGTCAGTTTTTTCTCAAAGTTTCTCCCGCTTGGTTTCGATGTTTTAGAGAGGCATAGTAACACTGATCGTGCCGACTGTTATTGTTTCAACGATATACTGTATTTGTTTTTATCTGCTTCTCCTTCGGAGGACCTGCGTAGGAGTTCGATGTCACCAGACAACAGTAGCAGGAATCCTAGATGCAAAACTTCCTTCCATTAAAGAACAATTAGTGCTTATGGCACGAAAAGAATGCTGTTGTTTGTCAAGTGCACGTGCAATTAAAACAGACAGTTGGGTTAAGCCGACAGGACAAGACACACTCTACCGGGTGTTTCAAATAGGGGTCAGGCTTTTTAATTCGACCGCGAAAATCGGTTTCTTAACCTATCGGGCCACGATTTTGTGGAGCGTTGCCCACGGGTGGTGCATTCTGTTTTCTATAAAATTTTCAAAAAGTAAGCTTACCGGAGGAAAGAGTGAAACTAGAAAAATGCCCAACTTTTACGTAAAAACAGCGAAAGCCACTGGTCTTCAAACAATAGGGCACCATTTGGCACGGCGGACAAGAGATGGCGCAAGTGGTTGCGACGCCATTCGCCGCCAACGAACGAGCACACGGCGCCGAGAGCCGGCGTGAAATAGCAGACGATAGTTTCGACTGAAAAGCGGATCGAGCTTTTTCAATGTCAGTTGCCAATACATGATCTTATCAACGTTTAATAAAGCACATTAAATGGACATATAATCGATTAAAAAGTGGTTTGTCGGGTTATTTTGACGGTTTTGTTTCGGGGTACTTTTGTCGTCTGCTTGGCATCACGATAAATCCTATGCTGCGACTGCGTCTTCCCGAGTTCTCGCCACGTGCGGATCGCGCGCCGCTTTTGAATAGAAAAGGTCGCCTGCTAAGGAGGCCGGCTCTCGGCGCCGTATGCTCGTTCGTTGGCGGCAGTTATCGTCACTACCGATTGCGCCATCTCTTGTCTCCTGTGACACGCTGCGCCCTACTGTTTGAAGACCGGTGGCTTCGCTGCATTTCCATAGGAGTTAAGACTTTCTTATTTTCTACTTTCTCCTCAGATAAGTTCGCTCTTTACATCTCTTATATAAAAAAGTGCACCACCAGTGGGCAACGCTGCACAATTCGGACCTCGATAAGTTAATAAACCGACTGTTGCGGTCCAGTTAAAAAGCCTGGCTGCTATTTCAGGCACCCTGTAGAAAGGTAGCAAGTGTAACGGGTTGTAGCCAGCAGACGAATAAATAAAACTGGATGAGCGCATGCGTGGATTTCTGCCGGCCGCGAGACACGGAGGCTGTGTTCTATATCTTACCCAAATGGATCCGAGTTACTCCGGCGGATCGTATCACGTGACAGCACAGATTGAAAAGCGCTGGTCGCGGGTAGGTTCTAGAACGCCAGGGGTACAATACTCTTACCCTGGAGTAAGATGGAGTAAATTTTGGAACACGGCCGGAGTGGTAGTGACGAAAGTCGTCCTATATTGATCCAGGGAGTTTGGTTATTGCGTTCGCGATAACAAGCAACGATATGATAGGACTGTCTAGGGTGAATTAAAACTGTTCATGTACTGTCGTCTCTATCCAATCATGATGCTAAGGCAATGCTGCGTACTATTATTCCTCTTTAGCCATGTCTTTTATATTTGCATTTTGTTCCTAAACTACGTACAAATGAATAGGGCGTGAAGGTGAATGCAAATTTAAGTACTTCTACTAATCATTTAAGTTTTTCTATTTGCCACAAAGTTTGGTCTTATTTCCATTATTCACTGTAGTTTTTGGTGATGGAAACGTTCATACTTATTGTCTGTTATTATTTTCATATTTCTGCGACCGAGTTTTTCTTGAGACTTAATAGTATTAACGCCAGTTAAGATCTACGTTGCAATGTTGGGACTTTACCTTCCTGTGCTACATTCAGATTATAGCTTTCACCACAAGTTTTTATATACCAAAACAAAAAATTACTGCGCGTTTACCTCATGCTCAGACTAAATTTGTCCACATCTGCATGCCGGAGTTGACCACTGTCCATTCAACGTATGTGAATAATGTAAGGTTGATTCATTTTGTGTGTTGGAGTAAAGTGGAGTCTTCTACTAACTTACTTGCGCACGTTTATCATTTTAAGTCACATATCTCGCCTTAAAGAATACGGAATAACAAGGGTCTAGAACGGTGGCTAAGAAAACATAAACCTTACATTCAAACCTAATCTTTCAGTGGCTGGAGAATTTAAGTATTCAGAGGTGCAGAGTTTCTATCAAGACGAAGTAATTTTCATAACAGGCGCCACTGGATTCCTCGGAAAGGTGCGTACATTTACTTCCGTTAGTCACCTGTAGGCATAAAAAATAGGTGATTTTAGCTGGTTTTAGCTGGATTTAGCTGACGAGATTAGAAATTTGGAGCCGGGAAAATTTATTAAAAATTAACATTAATAAAACTAAAGCCGTACTTTTTCGCACGAGAAATAAATCGATTGGAATAATGAGAGATATTACTCTTAACACAACCCCAATTGAGATTGTGAGCAATTTTAAGGTTTTGGGAGCGATCTTTTCTGAGAATATGTCCTGGGATAATTACATAAATTATATAATTCCCAAACTGTCATGAATAACTGGATTGATATATCTCCATCGATCAATTTTGCCAACAAATGGGAAATTACTAATCTACAATTTTCTGTTTTATTCGTATTTAAATTATGGCCATCTTGTTTGGGGCTCAACTACATTATCAAACCTTGAGAAGATATTTTTATTACAACAGAAAATACTGAGGTCCATCGGCGGCGTCTCGTCTGACTCCTATACAGCTCGTCTGTCTAGGGCTTTCCGCGTTATTAATATATACATTTTATACAATTATAGACTTAGTAATATGTTTAAAACGGAAAATAATAGAAATACACGTTTCCTTACAAATTTGGCTAATCTTTATCTAAAAGAACCGGTTTAACCCACTCGTCATGCACACCTTTGGGAGATGGTGGCTCGGAGAACAAATTATGGCTCCCAGATGGTTCGATATACGTTGCCTAAATTGCTGAACCGGTTAGAAGAGAGTGAACTGGAATTGAATAGAATATCACCAAAACAACTAAAAGAATATTTTATGGGATTAGATAGGTAAATTAGCCATTATTTCATCTTTCGTGTAATATTTTTTTATATTTTTTATTATATATATATATATTTTTTTTATGCTTTGTTTGCTTAGTACGTATTTTGCGCTTGTATAGTGTCCTCTTGTTTCACCTTGAACCATGTTTTGGTATGGAAAATCTTTTTGTATGTGTTTTTTTTTGTTTTTTTTTTTTTCTCCTGTGCCTCTGCTATTTCGCCTATGTAGGAGGTCGAGGGCCTTGTCAAGCTGTGCTTTACAGCTTTTTTTCTCGACCTCCGCCATCAGTGTTGATGGGAAATAAACTTACTTACTTACTTAACCTTGGTTAGGGGAAATACCTTGAGTGTGACTTTAAGCACAAAGAAATAAATACAACAGGTTCATTGCGTAGTGGATTAATTTTAATATATTAACTTATTTGCCCTCAACTAAACCATGTTTTCTTACAAAATGACCATCCAAGGCTCCGAGGATGAATGCTGAAATTATTACCTCACGTCCTCGTTTAAATTAAGTTGCGGTGATTGTCTCCCAGTGAATTCGTGGCTGCGATGTACGGTGCCTTATTATTAAAACCATTATAGCGAATGGTTTTTACTCATGATGCTCTCAGATCGTGTAAAAATCATAGATCTAGCCACAAATAAAATTTGATGTAGCGAGACACGACTTTGAGGTGAAAGCCAGTAAATCCCTTCAAGTGCGTGGAGTAAACACTTGATCTGAAACCGTTTTATTACTGTAAACTGTAAATTTATAGTTTGGTTTTGCAAGTGTTTTTTCAGTGATTTTTTTCGTAAATAAATTGCCTCATGCTTGTTTTGTCCTGTCGTAAAACGTGCCTCTGTATACGTTAGCCTTCCGCACTACGCGAGTTATGCACCGTATTTTCCGCACTCTAGTCCCCCACTAGATATGTTTAATAGCCGAAATATTACGTGTTGCGGGCGGTCTACAAGTGCGGACCATGCAAGGATTTCTGTTTTCATGATTGTTCATTAAGACGAGGTGTAATAAATTTTGTCAATTCTACATTTTTTTTATTAAATTTCTGATGATACACTATTTCCTCAGTGCGAGAAAGAATACGTTTTAACGTGTTCTCTGTATAAAAATTGCTTTAAGTACAAACTTTGCAGCAGGTGCGGAATATGCACATAGCGCAAATTATGAACCGGACTCGCACTCTCAAATATGAATAATTTTTCTAACTGTCGTACTGTTGTGTACATTTGAGTAGTGAATCAGGTGGAACGAGAACGAATCAAGATTACATTTATTCTGTTGTAACTAATCTATTATGCACCAGACCGAAGGTGAGAGTAGATTGTGCAGCGTTTTGTTTTATTCTTAAAGCAAAGCGAGCACCATATGCTGCTGATATCCAACTCGGTCTATAGAATGCCTAAGATTTATATTGCATAAAATTTTCTCTGTGAATAATACCGCCGAAACTCACATCTTTGAAACGGGATTTCGGTAGTGCGTTTAGAGGATGCTTAGAGTATTTTTATCACATCCGGAACAATTTCAAAAGAAACAATAAAATGCTCAAAGAGAGCGGTCAAGCGTAAAGCATACTGACTGCAGTAGCATCTGTATTTGAAAACGTTTCCCGTGTAGAAATGTTGCGGTTATATATTAATTTACATTTGGTCTCTCCAACGCAATGTTTCCTCTAGCTTACATGATATTTCTCTTTGAATAATGGCCTCCAGTTTATATCTTAATTGTGGTAAAATATCTACTATGATTCTGTCATGCTCTTGTAAATGATTCTTTCCAGGCACTTCTTGAAAAATTGCTACGATCATGCCCAGGTATCAGGCGAATTTACATATTGATTCGCCCGAAGAAGAATGCGAGTCCAACAGGAAGGCTGGAAGTTCTTTTAAAGTCAGAGGTAAGGAATATAACTATTTGGATTCAGTGTTTTCTAAATTTACGTGACGGTAAATTTCCTTTATTTTTTTGGTTCGAAACGCGGTTTTAATAGGCGCTGGAATGTACAGCTTCAATAAATGGCCACATATCCGTCGCCGCAAAAAAAAAATGTTTTCATTGTATTCTAGAACGTGGGATGTTGAAGTATTTATAATTATATCATGAGCAAAATAATGCTTTACTCGTGCCCAATATAGTTTGCCAATAAAGGTTGCTCTCGTACCTTCTAACATATGCAGTAAACAAGTTTGCCTCATAATATTGAGCGAGGGCAAACTAATATGTTATACGTATATATATATATGTGATGTGTTTTCATTGACAGATTGACAGTATTAATTAGTATTGACAGATTAGACATGAAAGAGCCGTAAAAGCATGACTAATGCTGTCTGTGCGGGTGATTTATACGGCCAGGGGACATATTACAGGGTCTAACCGTTATAGGTAAAATAACTAACTAGATTGTGTTAATTAGTAAAGATGAACATATAATTTCAAGTCCCAATTTGCAAGAACGTCATTGAAAACAGGTAAAGTAGTTTTTTTGTGATTCGGAACGTGTGGGAAGCACTGTAGTTTGCTAAAGTTACCACTTATTCAGCAACGAATAACGAAAAAAAAACAAAAAAACAGGCGACTTTTTTTTTGTACCGGTAGCCTTGCGTCTGTTAAACGACTGGTAAGTTAAAGTCTTTATAATTTTGACGGATTTAGTAGCTTTGAATACGCGTACCATGCTTGTAATTGGATTGAATTCGTAGTTTTATTCTCACTCAAAATTACATTAGCCTATCGCAACGGCTTTCCGGTTTTATTATTCCCTGGCTGCATAACGCACCTATACACCAACTAAACTCTTTTACGTCACACTGTGGTGGCGGCGCGTCCGGCGCACTTCCTGTCTGGGGTTTGGGGCGGAAGTCACGACGCGGAACTTGCATTCTTGTGTCGTTTTTGAAAGAAACGAGACAAGACCTTCCTTCTCCTTAAAGCTGCGCGACTGGGGCTGTACCAAAAGAGTCAGGAAAGGTTTGAATATCAGTTTTCATGCGTTTCTTGCCTGCTCGAATCGTCATAGAACGTAAATAAAGGCCGTAAAAAAATTAAAAAAAACCTGACGTCTTTGTAGCACGATTGCTTGTGAAGAAAGCGATCTGGGTTGAATTCACGAACAATTATTGCCATCGGATATATTTTAAATGTTCCAACGTGAACGCTAGAAAATCTCCAAGTCGTCCGAACCACCCGCGGACTACGTTCAGCGCGTTTTTAAGTTCAAACGGCCGCTTGATTGTTTGAACTCTCGTCTACTCTTTCCAACATCTATGCTCTTTGCCGTCTGCTGGTTCAAACGACAGCGGCCCTTAGGCCAATAGTTGACCATATAATTTCGGTATATAATAGCGCAGGCCTCTAAAGGCTTATAAGTTTGGCTGTTGCTTGAGGTAAGTAGGATAGGCGTAATCAGTAGATACAACGATGCTTTGATCAATGTTACCAGTGGCCATCACCAACTTGTTATGTCTGATTCACTTTGTCCGATTCTGCTCGCAATTTTCTGTATCGACGTTGAGCATCGCAGCTACCATCCACGCTTTTGCAGCCCAAGCGATGTCGCGACTGAAAATAGGGAGCAAAATCTCATCATGCTGTGACGTCCGCTCTGCGGCGTTGAAATGTAATTTCTTTGGTACTGCAAACGTGTCGTCATGCGCCACACTAGGATATTTCCTCCGTTTTTTGTTGCTTTCAATATTTGCTAAGGATATTTCGGGTGCAATACCGGCCTTGCTAGTACTGTTGGCAGATGCGTTAGTTGTCGAGAAAAAGGAAACTTTTACGGACTTGAAAATGTTCAACTCCTTGTTCAAAAATTATTTTTGACCTTCTTATATAGTCAATGAAGAAGGTAATTGAGTGTGTCACAAACTCTGCATATTATCATATTAAAATAAAGTTTTTCGGTTTTTATTATTGTTTTGAAAACGGTAGCCTGCTGTACCCTTGTAGTATTTAAGGAGGACCATTGCATCAGACCTTGAACAGAAATCACCTATTATTCATATAGTTGGTGAAAAGTAGAAGCTCGTTTTTTTTTTGCTATTGAGTCCTTTTTATTGAGGCGAAACCATTATTTTGCGAAAATTCAGAACAACGAAAGTTATATTATAGAAGCGCGGTTTGGGATCCCCAAAAAGGATGTTGCGTTTGAGAGGTGGAAAAAGATTAAAACAGGGAAAGGGGGGGTAGGGGGGGGGGGGAGAGCACACTTTGTTTATAGTATGTATTTCTAGTATGCCTCTCCCACAAACATTTTTTTTTTATTTATACGGGTTCGTTAACCTTAAAACATTCGATTAAATAAGTAACCCAAGATTTATTCAACTAACGGCGAACATAAGGCCTGCCAAACTGATATAATTAGTAAAAATATAAATATTTTTCCCCAAAGAATTATTAATTGAAATAGATTACTAGCCGACGTAGCGAACGTCACTAGGTTTCAAGAGTTTTGTCTCATTCCATAGTGGAAAGCGTGAAGTGCCTGATATTCCTATGAATGTTCCACGCTCGAGATGAATTGTTTTTAGAAAGGCAAGAATGAATAACAAGCATACAGGTTGCTGATGTTATGAAAAATATTATACTGTTAGAATTATAGGCAATGATTTGGAGTCTTCTTGACAAAAAGCGACGTTTTAATACACGAGTTCAAACCCTCACGTTTTACTGCAACAATCTGGATCTCGGCACTTGGATCAGATCAACCATTTTTTTTCTAATCAACACGGCTTTAGAAACACTATCTGAACACCGAGCTCTTTGAATTTGTCCATGATTGGCATGTGAATATTCACGCAAAAACTAAGACGGATATTTTTTTTTTATTTTGTCAACGCATCTTACACGGTACCGCATGAACGATTAAATTTAAACCTTTCTCCAATCCAGATCAGCCCATCAAACGCGAATTAAACTTCAGCCTTCCTCATCGAAGTAGCTAAATTCATAATTACTAAGAGTGCAGTTTCCTCCCGGGTACACGTGACTTCTGGAGTACACCAGGGGTGCGTTCACGCACCACTACTTTTTAGAGCGCAGCTCTTAGGCGCCCGTTTCTGGCATGGGCGGCGTCGGAGCAAACCGTGAGGTCACCTGACCCCGTGATGTCACATCACCCCGGTGACGTCACGTGACCTCCGTGAGGCCACGAGTGTCAAGTGGCGTCACGAGGGTCACGTGACCTAAAGGTTACGCTGACGGCGACGGCATCGCCGCTCGGAGGGAGGAGCAGCAGGCAGGTGAGAAGGAGGTAGGAACGGTCTACCCTACCCTCAGTACCCTTCCTTCCTCCTCCTCAAGAGCTGCGGTCTAATTCGGCCCTACAGGGTAAATGGCTCTCATTTTTGTATTTATTATTGACCTGCAATCAAACATTCAGTCAACGATTAGGCTCTTTGCTGACAATTGTGCGCTTTTGAGAGATATTTTATTGCCAGCAAATAACGTCATCTGTCTAAAGCCTCCTGATAAAATCAGCGAAAGGTGTGCTACGTGGCCAATAAAAATCAGCTCGAGTAAAGGCCGTGTATGACCAGTTACATATAAGAAAAAAAATCATCGTTCTGGTACTTCTTTTTTAAACAAGTTAATGCATATGTAACATGATATAGGTTGTTAGGAGTTAATTTCACAAACAGTGTGTGCTGGAATGACCATCTAGATAGTAAAGTGACTAACGCACCCCGGAAGCTAGATTTGGTTATACTAAACATTCGTTCCCATACCCAGGAAACTAAACTTCTTTATTATAAGTCAATTATCCTTCCGAAACTCGAATATTTCAGCATGATACGGAACTTACACGAAAACAATTTAGCCCTAAAATTAAAAGCTTTAGAAAGCTAGGCCGCTCGTTTCGTCTCCCGCGAGTACAAGTCCCTGAAACGTGTCCCAGAGTTGAAGAAAAACCTGGATGTAACCTCTTTAGAAAATCGACGTCAGATTACTCGTTTATGCTTTTCCATCAAATTTACTCCACCGAGTCGTTTTTTCGGACATCTGTTTGCCTACCTGCGCGGTTCATAGCTCCCTGGCTTGACCACACTTGCGAAGTTGAACCAATCAAATCACGTACTAACTTGTTCATGTTTTCTACACAATCATTAGGCATATAATATTGAAACAGTCTCGACTCACACGTAGTGACTAAATCGGATCCTATGTGATTTAAGGAAAGTTATGTAGATTTGTTTAGTTAATTTATTCCCCTAACTTCAATCACCACAGCCCCGCAGGGGGCACCTGTGAAAGCAGGTGTTTGAAGAGTGGCGTCTCCACGGACCCCGAGCTCCGCAGGGGGCGCCTGCACATTAGGTTCTAGGTGCTTGGTGAGTAGCGTCACCACGAACCCCCGCCACATTGGCGACACCACAGACCCTGAGTAAAAAGTGGCTAAAACCCACCCACGTCTGGCTGTGCGTGGCAAGCCCGTGTCCGGGAAAAAAGCATTCTGGTGGTTGAGCCGAACCCGGGGTAAATTTGGACCCTTCGGGGCCCCCCGGGTGAGGCAACACACCACTTTGGCCCCCGCTTCTCGTAGACGGGAGTCCTGGTAAGGCCCGGCCAGGATGATTCAGTCTAGTCGCCTTTTCTTCTACTATCCCTTCCAATCTTTCACTTTTACCTTTCCTGTTTCTTTTTCTTCTCTCTCATTTCTCTTACTCCCTTTTCACCCCTCTTTGGCGGCAAGGGCTATCCTTGGGCGGAAACAGGTCCTGTCCCTGCAACCACACTAGGGTATAGTGCGCGGGCAGCACTGGTAGAGTAATTGTGTCAGCCAAGCCCTTCTTGCTATGGCACATTACCTACCCCCTTGTTGGGCTCCGTGGTGGGCGGTGCACCCGGGCACTGAACTCCCTTTCCCATCTTTATGGGTTCCAAGCTAAACAAAAA